AACCTGGGGTTCCGCCTCCATCAATCATGCATTCACACAAAAATACACACTCTTGTGTGTTACAGCCTGCTCAGTGTTTTATAACTAAGGTGTCACTTTATTTTTAAGCTCATTTAATAAGACAAGTTGAACCAGAACAGACTCATTTGGAGCAGCATAGAAACACATACAGTACACACATGGATCACTGTGTAGAGCTATGGGCAGCTTCTGCACAACTTCTATAATTAATTAAAGTCCCACTCCAGAAACATTTTCATTTTTATATTTGTATATAAAAATACTTTACTATAAACAATATGCAGTCTAACACAGCTTTTCCTCAAAAAAATTTCAGTGGGCCTCTGTAATAGGAATGAACATTGCCCCTCATTGTGCATTCCAGGATCTATGAATGTTGCCGTCATCCCTTATGTGGATTTGAATAATTTTGCACGCCCAATTTTTCAGTTTTTTATTTGTTAGAAAAGTTTGAAATATCCAATAAATTTTGTTCCACTTCATGATTGTGTCCCACTTGTTGTTGATTCTTCACAAAAAATTACAGTTTTATATCTTTATGTTTGAAGCCTGAAATGTGGCAAAAGGTCGCAAAGTTCAAGGGGGCCGAATACTTTCGCAAGGCACTGTAAATGCAGGTGCAGTATAGTGGGTTCATGCATGTTTGTGTATTTGAGTGTCGTCTTACTTCTGTGAGTTTTAAAGTGGAGCCTGTTGTTGCAGTGTGCAGACATGGAGCCCGCTAACGAAGCCCAACACGTGCAGATCAAAGAGGAGTGTGCACAGAAGGACGTGTGGAAGAACAACCCAGAGAACAAACCGAGTGAGTCCGAACACAAAACAAACTCAGACACAATGTAGAATGAGTTTTAAACACAACATGCACTAGTTAAACAATCAAGATACAAATCACTGGACTGATATGTGGCTTCATTCACCATTATCTCTTTGTGAGAGCTTAAACAACTTCAGGTCAAACTGACCTGAGAGAATGCTTTCTAATTCCTTACGAGCTCATTTAGCTTTAGTTTTTAAACAATTTCACCTTTAAAAGTTTTAGAAATTGATATTTTAAGGAGGAGAGTTTTGTTGAATTTTTTAGATTGTAAACTTGAAAATGTCTGTTTCAGCCTTGTGTGTGTGTGGCTCCTGTGTTTTCTTTAGTCTCTGGAGCTGAACAGCCGCCATGTTTCAAAGCCTCACAGTCTGTCCACACTGACAGCTTTGTGGACCATTACCACTCAGCCGAGAATCCAGCCAACTGTGAATCTCTGGTTTCTCCAGCTGAAGGCTATGACACATTCCCAGAGCAGCAGCTAAACAGGAACCAACATGAGACAGAAATTGTAGTGAAACATGAGAAAGAGGAAGAGCCTGATGAGAAGGCTGTTTCTCCTGATTCAGGCTGCAGATTTGTGACAGAGAAAGGTGACGGTCACCTGTGGTCCTGTACAGACGCTGGTGATCCGAGCTTCTCGTACGCTGAGCAGCAGTTTGAGCAGACTCCCACTGTGTTCACACCTCAAAGTAACTTGCATTTACAAGACATGGCACCCAGAATTCATTCAGCGGGGAAATCAGTTGTGGTGAGTGCAGCACGAATGAAAAGACGAGCCAGAATGTTTGGATGTAAGCGACCACAACCAGATGAAGGACACAAGGCTTTATCTCAGATTAATGTCATGGATCAGAGCTCGATTCCTCAGCATCAGCACAGAGATTCTGTACCCCACATAAGGAACCCAGACGAGGATCTGATGGCCCCGAATCCAGCGGCCTCCTCCTCCTCCTGCGGGCACAGCCGCAGCAGCTCCCGCCTGGCTTAGAGGCAGAGGGCGGCCTGGGCGGCCCGCGAGAAGAGGTTCAGCTGCACGTACTGTGACAAAAGCTTCATGAGGTTCAGTCAGCTCAAAGAGCACCTGAGGAGTCACACGGGGGAGAAGCCGTTCAGCTGCCTGCAGTGCGGCCGCAGCTTCACCAAGCAGTGCAACCTCATCAGACACGCGGTGGTCCACAGCGGGGAGAAGCCCTACGAGTGCTCGCTGTGTGGGAAGTGCTTCACCCAGCGCTCCAGCCTCAAGTCCCACCAGAAAACAGCACACTGAGTTTGCAGTTTGCTATTATGCTGTGCATTATAACATTTATATTAGGAAACATACTAGTCTGGAATTGTGCTCCCATAATTTATTTTCATTATCAGTCAGTCTTTTTTTATCAGTTAGTGGAATCCACAATTTACTTAATGTATGTGGAGTAATACCTAGACATCTCTAAAACAGCATACATGCTGAGTAGCCTACAGCTCACCTGTAGAAACCACCCTGACACTTCATCGGGATGTCGTCTGGCTCTTTATACAGCAGCCGTCCACACAATGACTTCACTCCCAGAACTTCTAAATCAAATTTGAAAAAGGTTTCACATTTGTTTTAAAACAAATGTGACTTTTTAAAGTTTAAATCCAAGCTGTCTGAACTTTGCACAGAATTAAATGATGAGACAAACACATGACAAACTCAGGCGAGCTTTGTTATTCAGTCAGCAAAAACTTCTCAATCGGGCAGGTAACAAACTTTTTACACAAATATACAAAGGTAAGACATTAAACATTTCCTCATAAATATCAAATTATACTGTAACACAGTGTGATAAATGTTACAATTGTTGCATAGAAAAGTAGTGATAAGTAGCTGAGAGGAGATCACTGTACAGGTGCTGTTGACGTGATCTGAGATCAGCAGAATCTAACAAGAGCATGATGAAGAACTGCTGGAGGAGAGGCAAACATGGTTCACATCTACTAAACCAAACTTCACAAGTCTTTTAGTTTAAACACTGAAAACATTCAGATAAACACTGACAACAGGTTCTGATGTTAAGCAAATGCTCTCACCCCACCAACGACATGTTCGACACTCAAATGTCACCTGCTGCACATCAGTGAAGCTCAGCAGTGGCCAACAAAGCGTAGCAACAAATCTGCTGAAGATATCCACTGGAGTGTGTTAATACATGTAGAACATGTCAGGATATTTCCAGATTAATGAAACAAATTTCACCAAATATTAACAGCAAGCAGAAAAGGGACTGTTATCGAGTGCCAGAGACTCAAGTTATAGGAATTATGTTTCAATTACACACTATATACAGTGAATTTTAAGCACTGTTTTGCCACTTATATTGCACTGCCTTTTTAAGGAAAAAATGAAAAGTTCAACTCCATAAAACAAGTGAATTTAAGAAATTAGAATCATTTCTGATGCATTTTTTGAAACATAAATCCATCCATTATCTCTACTGCTTATTTCTGAACAGGGCTGCGGGGCTGGAGCCACCGTGGACAGGTCTGAAACACAAATCTGCTCTATAGTTTTGTTACATCGGTAGGAAAACTCAACATCAGGTACACGAAATAAAGTGAAACACCGGGTTGTGCTGATCCATGCTGTATGAGACTGAATCGTGGGCGTTTTTTTGTTTTGTTTTTGTACATAAAATTGTTCCAGTAATTTTAGGTCTCTTGAATTTTTAGGTAAGTGAAGCTCACGTCACAAAATAATTTTTTCTTCAAGGTGCCAGTGGACATCAAATCTAGTTCAGAACCTTAACAAAAATATTTTTAATTTGGTGATGCTCGTCTACTGGCCTCATTTTACACACTGCAGTCAGACCAGTAAAGGCTGGGCCTACACTGGGTCTAATCACTGTTTCATAACCCTGGGTCAAGACATATTTACAGCATTTTATCATTGTGAATTATTATTGTATAATGTTTAGGTATAATTTACAGTACTGTTTGCATTTATTATAAGAATGACATAAGATTTACTTTTCATCTTCAGAAATCCCTAGTTTCTGTAAATTTTTATTTTTAAGCAAGACCATGTAACTTTTGCAGAACAGCAGCAGACCCCTCCCCCAATCTTAAATCTGTGATACCCGTACTAAAATGATGTATAAAATAAAATGACTCAGTAATGTCACTTCCACAGCAATATCTAAGTTTGCCAACATCTGCTAGCATTAGCCATTGTAAGGCTATAGTAGCTAAATACCTGAGTGCACTAAAAAGAGGAACTGTCAGTTTTATTTTTTCTGAATTCAACTTTTCATTTGTAAGAGGAAGATTGTCTTGTTTCATCTTTCAAAATTTAAACTTATTTTAGAGTGGTAACTCATAAGAACTGAATAACTTGTCTTCTGGCTTTATTTCTGAATGACTTCATCATATCATGTTAATACAGTTGCGGGGGGGGCTCTTTTGAAAACCTGTGGTGTTGAAGTCAAGTCTGACATGAGAAGGGTGAGTTGGGTTCTAAGCAGCAACTTTTAATTGCAAATAATTTACAGCGTACTTTTTACAACATTCATGTCTGGGACCTAGTTTTGATGTGTCACCAACACCAGCTATGAATTCTCTGGTTTGACTATTGAAATGTGTTAGTTTGCCAAAGTTATGGTTCCTCTGATCATATAAAGTGGCTACCAAACTGCTGGACTTTAAGTCTTGGGGTCGACTCCGCGGGGTAACACGGGGAAGAATCAAAACACATTTCTGACTTTGAAGCACACATACATACACAACACAAAAGATGTTCAGTACCTCTTGTCGTGATCAGATGCCTAATGTAAGAAACCATTAAGGGAAAAAAAATCTACATCATCTCACAATATTAAATATAAACAGCCTTTGGAAAAAAAAAAAAATCTCTATGCCAAACGTCCACTGTGTTGATAAAAGCCCTTTGTACTAACTAGAGACTTGGTCTGTCACACCTGGCTGATATTAGATTTGAAAAATAGTTTATTTCACTTGAAAGCTAAAAATCAAGTGCTCTTTCTTGTCTTATCTTGTTTTACTTTTCCAAAATCTTGTCTGTTGGTTAAATTTGAAATTCCAGTTCCGACTGCCTGTGTGTCTTCACATCCAGGGGTAAAAGTCCCCCTCTGCAATCCAAAACTGCCACACCCTCTTCTCCCCCCTCAGTGTGTGTGCATTTGTGTGTTACACTGAGCACGTCTGTCCCTCTTTCCCATTCCTACTCTTCTTCCAGGCTGCTGGAGCAGTCCATTGCCTCCCCAATGTCCTTCTCACTGCTGGAGACCATTGGAGACCAGCTCTCCCCAAATACGTCCTCATTTCCCTCTTTCCTCCTCTCAGTATCTCTGTCCTCCCCCCCTCCTCTCTGCCTGCAGTAGGGTGGGATCTCAACCACAACGTATTTCTTCGCCCAGCCACTCTGTCGGATGTCATTTCCAGTCAGGCCTGTATCCGACTTGGAGTTGGTCACTGAGAGAAAAAATTAGACAAAAGAGGCAAAACAGGAAAAACACAAACGGATGTTTGAAAAAAATAAAATATAAATCACACAAATATGTATTTGTGCAGCAAAGCACAAAAATCTAATAAGATCGTCAACTCCATTATAGGGTGTCTGTAGTATAGGTAACAGTTTTGTTTTCTCACATTAAACTTTAATATCCAAAATGCTACAGAGATCATGAGATAACTCACCTGGTAATGTTGCAGACAGCAGACTGGAGTAACAGGTGACAGAACCACTATTACTGGAGCTGAGAGCAGCGGCGAGATGGAAGTTCTCAGAGCAGGGCAGCTGGGGGGACACTGGTAATGAGTGACACTGTCTTCCTGGCAGCTGCTGCCAATAATAAGATGCCTCCTGTTGGGTCCCCATAGGCCCACGAGCAGACGGCTGGTTACTGAATGCGCTCCCCGGAGGTGAGTGGAGGTCAAACACCAGTGAGAAGACGGACTTGCTCGGCACATCGTAAAACTTGATTTTGCCCCCACAAAGGTCCTCTCGGGCAGTGAATGGGTTGATCTTACTTGCTTTGGATGCTTGCTGAGTAGTGGAGGGGTTGTAGTAAGGGTCTTGGACATTTACTTTTCTTCCCGGTTTGCAGAATATGTCTGATTGGCTGCGGCTGAGCCAGATGTTCCGTCGGGGGCGGGGTGATTTTGGCGGGATTTTGTCATTCTGGAAACCAAGAGGATTCAGCCGCTTGAAGCCCTGGATCTTCTCACCTTGATCAAAGAGACAGAGCAGGTTTGTGTGGCTGCCTGACATAAAATATATAGCTTGTAAGTCTGTCAGCATAGGTTACAGTTGTTAGGAGGAAAAGAAGTCATATTGAGATCTTATCAGTAGTCTGAGGTAGAAACTAATGTGACCACTAGGTGGCAACACAAGCCAAATCCTCCAGAGCAAAGCCATGAGTTCTTTGTATCCCGGTAATAAGGCAGAGGTTGTTCCTCTTATCGTTGTTTTAAATTTTTACATGAATTTTAAGAAAATACTAAAGTATTACAAATTAAATCTCACTTTCCAGCAACTGTTCACATTGTTTAGAAAAATGTTTGCTCACATGAACCAATGAATAGTTCCCTAATTCACAAAAATCTCTTATTTTGAATGGTGTTCCATGTAAATGAATGAGCTAAACAAGAAAACATCTTGTTTCATGCTCCTCTCAAATCTCAGAAGTACTGTTACACTCCTGAATGAGTGATCACACATCTCATTCATGGCAGGAAATATCTGACAGAATTACTCAAGTCACTCAGGAGAACCATAAAAAGTTTCTTTTTTGGGGTCTTAACAAAAATAACTGGCCAAAACATTTTTGGTCTGCAACAGGTGTATTTCCTACTATGAGGGTTTTCAGGAAACGCTGATGGGATCAGGTAAACGGAGGGAGATGAAGGAGAGATGCAGGGAGGGAGCAGAAGAAATTTATGACATAATCAACAGCAGATGAGGAGTCAGATCCAGGCTATGTTTTCCATGCAACCACACTGTCGCTAGTATAAATCACTCCTGCATAATGTGAAGTTATATGTTCTTCATAATACAGCATTGCCCTGAGGAAAAGGACCCGTTTGGCTTATCTTAACAAAAACATCACTGCCTCCTGACTCCATCATGGTCAGACATGCAGGTGGCCATATACTGGACCAAATTAGAAATGAATCCTGGGCCTGCATAGACCAAGAACCTCAAAACAGGAATGTTTATCTCAGTCAAAACGAAGTCTATATTATCAGTATGTATTCTGGGTCTGAGCTCTGTTGTTTATTGTGTGATAGGGATACTTAGATAAATGGTAGAACAAACTGTATTCATCTTTGGTTTTGCAAAAATGCTCCTGCAATAACTTACTGGGGCAAAAAGAACAGGGGATACAGATTATACCCCTGAATGACTAACAAGGAAGTGAAGTAAAAGCTGGTTGTGTTTGGGAAAGGACAGTATGAACAGTTTGCTTGTAACTGGCTGGATGAACGTGAACAGTGTGCTTTGCAAGAGGAAGGAGAGGTGAGAGGTTTCAGTTATGCTCATTACTGATTTGATTATGAATGAAATATTCACTAGCTGTCTGGGTGACTAGAAAAGAGTACAAGCAGAGCTTTATGTAGGAGATATAAAATACATTCCTGTTTTCAGCTTCCCCTCCTGCCACTTCCCTTTGTAAACAAAAATAGGGACTTTTATTAAAGCTAAAGTTAAAATAAAAAACTAAAATGACAGATCAAAAAACATCAGAGTGTGATTTTGTGGGTGCAGACCATACTGTACCTTTGGGGATGGCCTTCTTGTCGTTGTCCCCACTGAGCGAGACGCACTCATGCTCCATCTCTTCAACTTTAAGGCGTGCAAGGAACTCCTCCAAGTGCCTGACAATGTCTGGGAAGGATGGACGAAGTTTAGGATCCATCTGGGAGAGGAAGACAATGGAGATATGGAGAAGTTTGACTATGAGAATAACAAGTTTACACTAACATGGCTTAAAAGCAGGGACAGGTTGCAGTCACCACATTATTGTTATTAGGGGAAAAGACAACTTACATACACCATGAGGATTACTTCCCGTTTATAAAGGCGCTACATGAAACATTTAAGCATGCTGATTATGTAATAAAGCAAAAGCAATACCAACTGGGGCTACTAATTATACTAGTTCCAGTTTTTGTTGTTTTTATCAATTAGATTGGGATATTCTTTCCTTGAACACTAATTTACTGATGACATCTGTACTGAAAATATTTCACAAAATGAAATTAGGAACCACAATTGAAGGTGAAGTGACAGGGATATAAACGGGACAACAGACAGGATGAGATGGGACAAAAAAAAAAGCCATTATAGGATCAATCAGCAGGGTGCTCCAAAATCTTTAATGCCCTCATCCCCTGTGGGTTGAAATAAAAGAAGTCCGGGCCAGTAATTATGATGTGAGCAAAACTAAACTGGACAAATTAAAACATACTTTATTTGGATTTACTTAATACTTCGCCCCATTTATTTAGTTAATAAATGTATAAATCAGTGCCTGAATGTAGAGAAAAGCTGAATCTACCAAGTAACTGATCCAGCGTTCAGAGAATAAAAGACCCTCTGGATAGTGAGCTAAATCTGATCATTCTAGTAATGAGATTGCCCCCGTTCATGAAATATTCATCGGGGGAACTCCTATAAACAACCAAGACAGCCCTAAGTGGAAATGTGTTTGTCTCCACATGAATAAAACATAAAGATCTTATCGCTCTAGACAAACTGAAACATGATGTATGTCAACTTTACAAACTACAGTAAAACTACTATTGTCTGCCCCACTGCGGGATAAATAAAGTCCTACCTCCTTACCTACCTTTGCTTCTGCCACAGATGGGCAATAGTTCCTTCTTACAATAAGATGGGAATATCATCATTCTGACAGAAAAAGCTGACACAGTGGACAGGGTTAGGGTGGACTCACATTGCAACAGTTAAAAGCCAGCTGGAGGAAGTCTGGCGGACAGTCTCCAACCATGTGCTGGAACATGTGGTAGTCCAGGCCGAAGTTCTGGTCAAGAGGGAGAGCAAAGAGGTTTGGATACACAGTATGAAAGTCAAACAGGAAATTCTTATTTACTGTTCTGACCTAAAAGGATAAAGATGCAGTCAGAGCTTCATCAGATGTTTGACACACTGTAACTCTTCTTGCAAAGCATCAGACTAATCCCTCTGATACAGTCCGTCTGACTGCTAAGTTCACTGATAAACTAGCCAGGACTAATAGCCAAAGACTCATTTCTGAACTAAATCTCTAAATCTGGTTTAGATGCACAATCCAGATTTAGATGCAAGGGATCATCATTTCTAACAGTAATCATGCTTCCTGACATCATAATGGCTTCTTTGTACAAGGTAAGGGACAGTAAATTGGCAATTTAACACAGATTGTGCAAGAGAAAAGGTTGTGTGAGTTCATTTTAAGATTTATGAGAATTTCAGCAGCTTACATTCTGTATTTTAATGGCAGAGATAAGTTTAATACTAAAGGGGATATTTATTAAAGATTTGCAGCTCATTTTTTGGCACTAAACAGTGAAATTGTGTGTTCATGTTTACTAAGGAGTCGCAGTGGGGTTTTGTGCCGGAAAAACAGAAAAGCAGAACCACAGGAAAGTGCATGTTTGGTCTCATCATGCAATATCTATATTAAGGGGTTCCCATTCATAGATGCAAAAATCAGGGGTGACAGAATGGAAATTTATACAAATACTCTCAGCACCTGATTTACTGCCACTGCTACAGAGGAAACTGTTACTGAAATTTAATGTCAGGAGAAAGCAGGTATAACATTTGTGGCCAGTGTGGCAGCTGTCAGTCATCCAAGCTCTTGCCAGAGCTAAGACCACGTCTGAGGAGGAACAGGGTGTTTGTAAATGGCATCGCTCACCAGAGGAGTGAGGGAGTGAAAGACTTTTACCGGCTTTCAGGTTGAACCGTGCTTGAATTACTGACCGAAATAAAAAAATGATGTGACTGGCAGAAGACTAGGCTATGAGACTGCAGCTCCAAAATATGTTTGTTGAATAAAGTTAAGTCACAGTAAACACACTTTCTTCTACTTTTCCTCTCGGTCAGTAGAAGAGCATAAAAAGAGCTTGGAGGTAAAAATAATGACATGGTACAGTGGATGAATTACTATAGTCAATATTTAGTTCAGTTATTTTGCCACAGTGGCTTAAAAAACATGTCAACGCTTTTTTCCAGTTCGGTATGAGTCATGCGTTTCACTGTGTAAACACGGTTTACACGGTTTACACTGTGCGCTTACAGAATTATGGGATACCAAGAGATCAGCATGTGTATAAAGCACACATGCAGATGGGGTTTTACAAGTTTATAGGGTAGAAAAGAGGTGAGCAGTTACCTCTGTGCGGGGGAGGAAGTCAGGGTCCGCCTGGATCCTTGCAATGACCTCACATAGGATTATTCCATAGGAGAAGACATCGGCCTAAAGACAGACAGACACAAAAATAGAACACAAGTATCAAAAATGCCCCAGTATTCTCCCACTTGTATCAAAAAAAAAATCTAATTTTCTTTCCTTTGCCATCTGAAAATCATCTCTTTAATTTATATACCGGCCCCCAACGAAATTCAGAGCAGTGGGAACTGTAAATGTGTTTGCAAATAATTAATCTTATTCTTTGTTCTTTCATAAACCCAGTTTGCCAATGTTTAATCAGAGCTAATCTAATCTTATTTGAGTTCATTTTCCACACTTTACTACTACTTGCTACAAGGTTACCTTCTCATTGTAAGGTTCATCTCTCAGAACCTCTGGAGCCATCCAGAAAGGAGAACCAACGACTGAAAGCTTTTCTCCTTCAGCACTAAATGCAAAACACACACACACACACACAGACTGTTTGACAGATTATATGCAACATGTCGTCAAAAAGAGGAAGTCATCTGTGCCAGAACAGTCAATAAACTTTAAAAGGTTTGAGCCGACTCCTGAACTCTGCATTCCTGGTTGAATAATGTCGTAACATCATGTTTACACAGTGTATCTAACTTGAAGAAAGAGCTAAGCATATTCAATATCAGTTTGTGTGTGGACATGTCACACTTGTGCACCATTAGGAAGAAATGACCCTGTTCATGATGTGTGTTAATGAAGAATGTAGATCAACACATGGCTGCTGATGGGTTTGTGTTAAGGTGTTAACGAAAAGGCCAGTATGAGAGGATGTGAAGAAGATTTGCAGGTCTGCTCCTGTACTGTTCATACGAACAACCTACAACTGGTTTCAAACGGCCAACATCACGCACTCACTGTGTACATGAACTATATGGGGCACCGCCTAACTCATTCTGCTATCCCCCCCCCCCCCCTTTCTTTAACCATTTTAAAAAATATGTCAGATGGTATTACTTGTTTTTACTGTCGAATCCTTTAGATTTAGACTGTCAGACATCACATCTCAAACGCCTCATTTCCTGACAAACTGCACCTTCCCACTTGGTGAAAAATAAAGATAAGTGTGGCTACACTCTGCATTAATCATACATCTTTACATGCCCATATACACTTGCATAAAGATAGACTGCTGAAGCATTAAAACCCCACACTGATATCATCCTCCTGTTATCAAAACACTAAAGTGGAGAATGTGAACTGTTAATGTTAGTGCCTGACACATGTGTTAATAAATAACTCTGTGCCTGGTATGAGGAGGAGGAACACTCCTAAGTGAGTTACAAATAGTTCCCACAGCAAAAGCAAAAGGGAACAAAAACATTGTAGTGGAGGGCAGGCATGGACAAAATGATCACAAAAAGATCACAAGCCGGAATAACCATTTTCTAACCTGAGTATTTAAATAAATGCAACAGATGTGACAATCAATATCTTGTCAGGTTTCCAAAGTGTCAATAGGAAGAATAATTCCTGATGTAACATAGGAGGACAGTGCAGTTATAACAAGAAACAATGGCCTAATGGTGAATAACTATTAACTATTAGGGCAGAACAGAAACATTAATCAAATCAATAATGTTACAAATAGCAAAGTAGTGGAGCACATCGAGCTAGGCATCAGAAAGCATTATCATGATTTGGAGGGTGTTTCTGGTCGTGTCTAAAATGTCCCATATTAACTCTCCTTTTAGCTCTGGAAAAATATCTGAGGCTCAGCTTTGTTCATCAGCCACTCACTCAACTGTTTGTTGCTGTTTATTGATGGGCAGATAATGTGCAGAGCTTTTTATTTAAACAGCTGCCAGCACAGGTTAATGACAACAGCTGCAACTCAAAAACACAGTTAATGTGCCACAGTGAACTAAAAGAGGCTACAACACCACATCAAGCTCAGACTGGGTGGCAATTCTCCACCACTTCACCACTAATAGCAGCCACTTTATATTAAAATTAGGAATTAACCCAATAATTAAGGCAGCCAATTACTGATAAAGATCCAAGACTCATTATGTTTAAGCAGAGTAATGATCAGTGGAAGACTCCTTACAGTTTATTGGGGATCTTTTCTGCCAGGCCAAAGTCTCCCACCACTGCTGTGTAGCTGTTGTCATCACATTTGATCAGGCAGTTCTGTGAATGCAGAGAAACATTATCATTATTTATTGTACATGTTTAACTGAGGAAGTTACAACACTGGTGGCTGTGAAAAAAAAACAAAAAACATTTTGTCATTTGACTCTCCACTTCCAGGTGAACGTGCACTTAAGCATTTTTTCATCTCTGTACAAAAGAAAATGGGAACTAACACAACATTTAAATGAGCTTTCTTGTAAAGTCTGAAACCTTCCGCTTCCCCCTAAAAAAAAAAACTATGTGTTAATCTACTGTTATATTTTGCTGCAGTGGTCATTAATATTATCCAAAAACAGTGCATACACTGCTAAACTACCAATGCACTGTAAGATGTGACAACCAACTAATATGTTGTTATATCTGATACAAAAGTCCTGCTCTGAAGTTGTCAAAAATATCCCCCCAAATACTAGAATATCCATTAAAAAATTTTATTTGAATAAATAAATAATAAAATATATATAATATACAAATGAAGAGGCACTGATTTGTTCTGCTGAGGACACTAGCAGACCTGCAACATATATTTTCTCCTCCTAATGACCAATTAGCTAACCTTGGAAGTGAGGTCCCGGTGGAATATGCCTTTATTGTGCAAGTAGGCCAGGCCACTGGCGATGTCACAGGCCAGTTTCACCCTGGTAGGCCAGCTCAGGAGTTTGTTGCTGTCTAGAAGCTGCTCCAGGTTTCCACCGTTGATGTACTGGAGACCAGCAAAGATTAAATGTATGTGAACAACTTAATACAATATACAAGCGCAGAAGCATTTCCTGGTGAACAGAGCCAGACATTGTTATGCTGAGAAAAGCTAAATGTTTCTGTTTGGCTCCATAAGACCACTGTATTAATAAACTGGGAAGATATATAAAGACTTTTCAAATTAAATTAAATTAAATTAAATGTGGGTTTTTTAACAACTAGAATCACAGCCATGTAAAACTGTCACCAGTGACAGAAACAACAGTCATGGGACTCATTGGTCAACTGGTGTACTGACTGGTGGACTGTTTAACCATTGTGAAAGCTGTTAAGTCAGCAGCCAAGAGGGCAAATCAGCTCAATGGGTTTCAAAGTATCCAGGATCCTTCACCCTGTCTGTCAGCTCTGATCCAGAAGAACTTGTCTGACCTTACAGCTTGCATGCAAACACAAAGACACACTAATCCCAAGTCACATATCATGACCAGCAGAGGTGAAGTAGAGAGAGCAAAGGAATAAAGAGGTGGTCTGGTTTAGCTGTGGTTACTGGTATGACTGAACCAGGACAGAGGGGCTGAAGGGCAAGGGGCAGAGGTCTCTAAACACAACTGGATAAACTAGGCTTCTGGTTAATCTTAACCCTGCCTGAACGGATCTTGAAAAAGATTTGCATCATTTAGGCATACTACAGTTTTTCTGAACAAATGTTTAGCACAGGACTCCATTCCTTGGACCCCAGTTCCACCCCAAATGGATCATCTTCATAAGTGTTCCAAGCCACCTGTGCATATGTGCTAAAGTTAAATGCCCGTCCCCCAAAAGGTTGAGATTCTTATACCCTTAAATATTCTGTTGCACATACACTCAAACTCAAGATGTCAGAGGATTACAGTATTTATCCTGGAAATTCCTCGGTAGCCACAGAGCTCAACATCTGCTGTCTGCCTGGTGGGGTTTGGCGGGGGAGAGGGGTGCAACAGGGGAAAGCTCCACCAGAGACAATTAAACCTCAGACTAATCCAACTTCCTTCCTTCATCATCCTATTTGAACAGCATCCATTTTAACCTCACACTGACAATATATACAGTGATGGCAAAGTGTGCCTGGTTCAAAATAATAATGACCTGGTTTAGTGGAACAGTGAGTCTGCTGTGTAAAAGGAACTGGATGGGAGTAAAAATCACACGGTATTTTTCCCTGGAATTAGCTTCATCCTACTGTGGAGTTACTGATATACTGCAGTAATTACTTGATACAGTAAAGCACATGTTTGAGCCATGGTCATATACAATGCAGACTACTGAGGAAATGCAGAACATATGGCTGTGGAGATTGCGCTGCTATTCCGATTGTGTTTCAGGTTAAAAACCCTGGAAAGACTGAAACAAAAGAATCCTTGTTTGCTGTTGGAAGCAGCTTCAAACAACAGAATGATCCCCTGTGGGTAATGACTTACCATTAGCCTAGATTATGATTGCAGTAGCATTTCCTATAAGGTGCATTACCATTTGGATTATTCAGAGACAGAAACAAAGCTTTATACCGTTGCTTTATACTGTCCTACATCTTCCAGAGTCTTCACAGGCCCATTCTCATGTGAAAATGTTAATCCAGTGGTGGTGCAAGATCTCCATATTGCAGCACTTCTATTTTATACTGTATTATACTACAACACAAGGCCTGAGCCAGCCTTGCTGATGAGTTCCTTGACAAGTTAACATTCAACATAAGATGTTTTGGACAAAGGTAAAAAAAAAAAAAAAAAAATACGTAACAGTAACAATTTTAAATAAAATCAGTGGAGGCTGTACTACTCAGTATTTGGCGACTTGGATTTCTGTGTGTGAGAGCTTCTGGAGGTGGGTTGTGGCCATGCAGTAACTTTATTCTCCATTTCTTCTGATCACAGCTGCCTGGGGGGGGGGGTCTGGTAAAAAAAAAGCATGGGCGGGTCCTACCAAGGTCAGTCATTCAGTTTGGTCCTGACATGACACAACAGGCTCTGTTTACCCTGCAGCAGGAAGACAAGAGCTACCGAAGCGTGTATGTATGTACAGTGAGGAACAGAAGTATTTGAACACCCTGCGATTTTGCAAGTTCTCCCACTTAGAAATCATGGAGGCGTCTGAAATTCACATTGTAGGTGCATTCCCACTGAGAGACAGAATTAAAAAAAAAAATTTCAGGAAATCATATTGTATGATTTTTAAAGAATTTATTTGTCTTGCACTGCTGAACATAAGTATTTGAACACCTGAGAAAATCCGTGTTAATATTTGGTACAGAAACTTTTGTTTGCAATTACAGAGGTCAAATGTTTCCTGTAGTTCTTGACCAGCTTTGCACACACTGCAACAGGGATTTTGGCCCACTCCTCCACACAGATCTCCTCTGGATCTGTCAGGTTTCGGGGCTGTCGCTGAGCAGCGCGGAGTTTAAGCTCCCTCCAAAGATGTTCTATTGGATTGAGGTCTGGAGACTGGCTAGGCCACTCCAGAACCTTGATATGCTTCTTACGGAGCCACTCCTTGGTT